TAATGCTTTAAATAACCTGCATTTTGCACGCCCTTGCGGCCTGGCCATTCTGGCAGTTGCCGCCCCTTCCTTTGGACTATGCTCTCAAGGTTAACCGCACCGTTGAGTGTTTTACTCAACGAAGGCCGTTTAGCCGGTTTAATACCTTCGCTGCGCAAGCCCCTAACATTTTCATTGGGTTTCCTTGGTGTTTCTCACTCCTTTGTACTTCTCCGAGACCTGACCGTTAGCTCGTTCATGTTCATACACCCATTTCATGATGCTTATATATACCCTGCATTTCAGTCATTGCGCAAACTTGAGATAAGATCCAACATTCAGATGGTGAACATCGTTGCAGAGACGATAATGTGTTTGCGTATGTACAATGTTTGTCCCCTTATCTTACGCATTCCACTGTCCACTAGTACTTTCCAAGGCGACCCTACTCATTGAAAAGGGCCTCTCCACTAAAAATGACTTTCGACCACGCCTGCAAGGCCTTCATTGACCCCGACGAGCCTGCCGTGCAATCGAACCACCTCTTGTTCATCGACCTCCTGTACACGAAGACCAGCGAGTGCAGGCCGCACTCCGTTAGGCTGGTTTGGTGTTGCGCCTTGTTCACCCTCACCCCGAATGGCGCTCCGTTGCCATTGTTTCTTCCCACTCGAAGTGCAAGGACTTCGAGCAGTTCTCGGACCTTGGGCTGTGGCGGAGTTCCAAACGGATCGTAGTACTCCACTGCCCTGTCTCCCCGGCAGATTACGAGCGCTGCCCAATGGACGTTCCCCAGGTTCACCATTGTGCCAACGATTGACCAATCCCCATACACTCTCTCTACCTTCCTCTTCAAGCTGGCCCACACCTTCTCCACATCCAGGCCATCTGCTCGCGCGCTACAGATGTAAAACTCCGGGCACCGGAACCCGGGCTTAATCGATTGTAGCCAGTCTAGAACAGCTTGGATACATTCTCCCCTGATGTATCCCTGACTGTCTCGCAACAAGACCGGCCGGTCGAGCGCGCCGCTGATCTGCTGCGGCCGGCTGCGCGTACGAGCTGCACAAAGCGAAGACCATACAAAGCATTCAATACTAGTGCTTCTAATCATGCACATATCATGTTCGACCCGTTATATATTTTCCACAGGTGAAGAAGCTCACGATATATGTGCATCTGGAGTGCGACACTAAATGGCTCACTTGAATACGTGAGCCCCAATATTTGCGCTCCAACAATGTCAACGTTCATCCATGTCATGAAATTCATGACCCCCTACCTGAAAACTGTTCCTTCATGTCTTCCGATTCATCCCCTATCACACCGTCTTTTACCAGCACAACTGCACTA